ATGTTTCGTTGAAAAAGTCAACAACGCAGTAGTATGGTTTTTTACTGGGTAAACATGCTTTTTTAAAAGCAAGATTGTTAAGCTTTTAATTTTCCTTATTTCCAGTGGTTGCATTATGTTGATGACACGTTCGTGGTATGGCAAGATGGTGAAGAGACTCTTAACAATTTTCTATTATATCTAAACTCTCTCGACCCAAAAATCCAAATCACAATGGAACGAGAAACCCATGGGGCTCTAGCCTTCTTGGGTTTGGAATTTTCCAAAAATTGATTGTTCAAATATTTGATGTCAACATTCATTAATTGAAAAAATGAGAAGTGTAAGAAAGATTTACCCACTTTTAGGCGACACAATATGAACTTGGAGACCAGCATCTAGAGATAAGTGATAATGCCAGTTCAAAATAAGGTCATCTGGGCACAACAAAAGTACCAGGAATTTTTCCTTTGCTTGTTTGAACATGCCATTCAGGAATGCAGAAACTTGAAGTTGCATATTGAATCCGTCTTCTTCATTTAAAATTGCACCCTTGAACTGAAAATAGAAAAACTTGAGTCAATGAATGGTAGCAGTAGATCTTTCTATATTAGAATATCTTAACGATTTCGTTAATATTATAAAATGGTGAGCTCCATCGACGGTGCCCTCATCTTTTCGTAGTGGTCGGGCTTGGGATCCTTAACGATCATGAGAGCCATGTCGACGAAGAAAGGTAGCACATCCTGCGGCACCAGGGGTTAGAATAGACCACCCTGCAGGTGGTCGCCTGCAGTGGCTTCATGAATGTGGACAACCATTTTCCTCATACTCATAGAAACTAAATGGACCACAACCGTAAAGGAATGGAGGACGACTTTTCGAGCGACCCCTCGGATGGTGTCCTGGCATTTCAACAAGTAAACATTTTCCATGCCGTGAACGGTTTTTTTACCACTTTTATTTGTAACTAACGTTACTGCAGTTTCTCCCTTATAGGACGAAACATGCTATGAAAATGATATATTCATTTCTTGAACAATATTTGGTCTCGAATTCGTAATTGTAACGGTCAGTTTTCTTATCTCCTGAAGTCTTCGACTTAGTTGGTGAAACGCACGTCGAGAAGAGTATTGAAGTTCTGATGATTGGGAAAAAAAATATGGTTTTCCGTTAACCAGCTGTCGCAGCCCTACGAACGGCAACCCTCAGAAGGCGAAACTTGTGCGAGCTAAGGATTAACGAGGTCTTACCTTCTTACCTTTTGAGGTATGATTCCTAACACGTTAATTGTTTTTTGGAATTATTCTTTGCCAGAGGGTCCAGTTTTACATTTTATTTTGTCAAATATATTTGCATGTCAGATTATATTTTACTGAATAAAAATAATTTCTGGTTGAGCATATTTCAGAAAAATATTACATCAATAGAATTGCTGACTTTTGCCACCTCAACAAATGACCTTAATTTCAACTCTTTGGGAAATCAATCGTTTTTCAAAAAAGCATGTTCATGATATAGCTATAAAAATTACTTCAAATGGTGAGTATTTAAATTTAGAAAGAATCTGATCTCTGTTAGAGTTAGCAGTTAGTATCATTTCTTGATGACGCCAAATTGGTGTGTCGAACACGCATTTCAAAAAAGTATGTTATAATTCAGATTTGTGTAACATAAGTGCTTTTGTTTGATTCATTCTACACAAGAGATACGTAATATAAAAGTAGGGCAACTCTCACCTGTCTGTCGAAATTTCTATATAAATAGTCCAGTACTAAAAAGTCCTGTGTTCTCAATTTTTCAGTAAGTTGTTTAGGAAAAATGCAGACTTTTTCACTGTGTATGGCACAGAATTCAGTAGGCTGAAAATCAATAAATCTCAATTAAAAACAAAACAATGGCTATTTCAGTAAGTTTTGATCTCATTGAAAAGTGAATTCAAACTATCACCATCATTTTTCAATAATCATTCTGAAAATTGTCATATTTTTCATTTCTGATTTCAAGCAGATGTTGAGATAAATGTAGTAAAGTGAATGGTATTACTATCAAAATAAACTTGTTAATGCTTTACAGGAGCTTGACTTATCTTTCATTCCAATTATAATAAATCAAATAACTAGGTTAAAAATTAACTTTTGAGTAGGTATGTAAGTACCTAAAATGTGCCGTCTGAGAGTCAATTATCATTGGAAAGGATTTGATGTTCAAGGTTCATATCAAGAGTATATAGGTATTATGTAATAAGACATTATACCTTGTTGTTAAGGTGCATCATTATTATAATTGTAATGTGGAAATATAGTAAATGAAATAAAAGCTTATTAGTTGGAAGATATAGGTTGAAACTGAGTTGTAAACTCACTCAGAAGATGACACAGTGAGTCGAAACACCTGTTAGCATTAAATGCTAGTATTGTGTAAATTGTGAAGTATTATTTTTACCCTACCAATTCAATTGAAATGAATTTACACATATTAGAAGACGAAGTTAGAACAACAGAGCATATATGAAAGATGTTAATAAAATAATCGACAGAATTACCTGCATTAACGCTATATATCATTTCATGATTATATGTTAAGTTTTTGTTATATTTTATCCCTACACATATGTGCACTGTTTCTCAATATTTTTGAATATTATACCTACCTGACATATTCAACATTAAATTATGTTATTTTTGATGAATTCTGAATGATAACGGATAACTTAAAGCTAACCCTTGAGAATAAATTTCATGAGTTAATCATTTTAATAGATTATTTAGTCATTTGATTGGTCACCTTCATATTTTAACCTAAATAATGGCATTTTTATTTGTAATATGTTTCCAATCTTCATGAGAGTAAGGTAATTCGTGAGATTTTTGTCAACAGGACAATGAGGACTTATTGTAGTTAAATTAAAAAGAGGTATAATGGTATAATTTTAGGATTGATACATTTTTTTTGGAAAAATTTTGGAGAACAAATTGAATAGAAAAAAGTGTTTTTTGTATAATTCAATGTTCATATAAAAGTGGTTGTTTGGAAAATATTTTTTTCTTTTGTGTTATTCAATGTTTATATGAAAGTAGTTGTTCCGAAAGGACTTTTTCTTTCAGTTTGTGTTTGAAAGTTACTTCTTTGCATGATCTTCACATCTTTTTATAGAGTTATTTCGAAATCAATTGATTTCTTCCCCTTTTTGGAAGATTCCCACATTTTTTGTATAAAGATGAAAAAGAAGAAAGACAAATTCTTTCTTTTCCAAGGAATGTTAAAAACTCTAATATTCAGTTTTCAAACTTTCTTCTTCATAAATTGAAGTTAATTCCCAGTATTTTGTTTGCAGTTGTGAAGATTGAGATTCCAAAGTTTGCTTTATCTTTATTTTCTGATATTGATGTAGATATAGGCTGCATATGCTACTAAACATGTGTGAACTTCTAAATAAAAATAATACACTGAACTTTTATTGTAACACCTTTATATTTCAATAATATTTCAAACAGCAACTTACTAACGCACTACACTTAACGAACTGTACTCTATCCAGGAACTAACATTAATGAAAGAATAATCATTCCTATTTCTCCATTGTTACCACTAATAACTTACATAATTCATGAATACTCAATCTATCAAAAGAAACAATGTGTCATCGAATTTCTCTTCACAGCCATATGCTTCCATCAACAATAATGCTAGTTCACACATGTAAATGTACTTTATTCCTGATTAACATGCATTTTGAAGTGAAAAATGGAATAAGTAGAACATTCACTATTCTACTTTGAGCAACAAACAGATTCTGCTGAAATGCTGGGTAAGCCAATAAATAACATGGTTAGGAACATATTTTAATAGTGCCTTGACCATAGTTTTCACAATTATTCACGTTCATAAAAGGCTTCCTATCTGTTGAATTATTTGAAATCAATTAACAAATCAAAAAGTGATGTTATCAGGAAATCCAGGTTAAAGTTTTATACCGGAATTTTGTCTCTTTTAAACAGGATTTCCTGAAAACATCTCTTTTTGAGTGGTGTCTTTTTCATTCTGGATGTGCAATATCCATAAGCTTCAGAAAGTATTACTTAGAATCATTTTTGTTGAGACTAGTTTTTTTTTTTAAGTACACTACAGCAAAATCTTGAAAGCACTCTTAGAGCGGTGCCTGTGCTAAAGTAGCAATTCACATTTGGAGAAACGTTCTCATGAAGTTTATTCTACATAAACTCAGTTCTCCAGATGAGAGAGTTCTCAAATAGTGTAGTTCGAGGTGTACAGAGTCGAACCTCAAAACAGTCTTTTCCAATTTGGAAAATATCAAATTTGAAAGAAATGACTTATTAGTTGATACACAGAAATAACAACAACTTTATAAATATTACTGGAGGAAGATCAGTTTTAATCTTCCTCTTTGAAGATGATCACTTGGTGATCGAAACACGTGTCGAGGTGTTAAAAATAACGATTTGGTGTTGGGAAAAAACTCCAGTAATATTCATTACTACACCAAAGTTTCCAAACAGTGCATCATAAGAACACCTTTATAAAGAAAGTTTTTGGCTTTCTACTACTCCATCTTGATACAAAAAAAAGATGGAGTAGTAGAAAGCCAAAAACTTTCTTTCCCAAAAATTAATCACTCCTAAAAAATATAACCCCTTCAACCTTTATAAAATAATCAACAACTTGGACTTTTCTAAATTTGCCAACAAAGAGTTACAATAAATTCTTCATTGATTTGGTGTTGACTTCCCCATTTGAAAGCAGAAACTTGTCTGGGTAGATCTGGTTGTATATCCTTTATTTACTTGTATTTATATTTCTTTATAGAGGGCCAAACCTCAAATTACATACGAGGGTGGATGTAATCTGTGGCCAGAAATCTATTGACTAAAAAAATAATCACCTTCACAAAATTGAACATATTTTCCTTAGAACAGGTTTAGAGATATATCATTAAAATTTGATAATGCATAAAATGTCACCACCAAAACGTATAGAATTGTTATATATAAAATTACCACGAAAACAGAAAAACTGTTACTATTTTCATCAATACTTTCAACATAAAAAACAGTTTCTAGCATCTCAAAATTTTAACGTAGTTATGATTTTTGTTTATTATTGTAGTATATGACATATGTCGATATGTCGATAATGTGAGAGTGTAGATATTTGTCTTCTTCTTTATTCGGGAGATCACGAAGTGAACGACATTTAGGTAAAATGTAATCATTTGAATGTCAGGGAAAATGTATGGAACTGTAATCATATAACTCTAACATTAGCATTATCTGAATACAATACGGTAGTTGTGACAACTGCCTATTCTAATATTGTTTTACTGAAATGTAAATAACAATGAAAAGTGAATCCAAAAGGTTATTTCAGTGAGCCACTGTGATAATTATCTATCAGAATGCGTCCATGCACAGCTTTCTAAGCTTTTCTAAAGAAACTGGTGAAGAAATAGAATAGTGTACTTAGAATCAGTAAATCACTACAAATCAATGTGTTTATACTTCGACAGACATGATTTTACCTCAATTACATAAAATATTGCGAATGTATGTGTATATGGATTCCCGCAACGGTTAATCTAGTTCCTCATAATTAAATATTAAAAGCCCTCCATAATGATAGATATTAGAAACCAAATTGACTTGCTTTACAACTGCAAACACAACGAATAATTCACTTCATTCATTGAAATACCAGATTTAAGGGATGTCAAAGGCAAATCCTTCATCTCACACAAATATCACATGGTTCAATTCAGAAACTTATTTGCCTTCGACTATCGATCTGCTATATTCTTTTTAAAATTATCCACGGTAAGGATACTTTCACTAAGGGGATTATGAAAGGCTTTTTGATAAGATAACAACCGCTACCGCTACCTTGTGGAATTGGCCTCTTGGATATATTAAAACATCGCGACTTGTATCTAATGGTGGTTCTACATTTTTCACAAATTTGTATTCGGAAAACAAAGTTTGTATATCGTTCGGTAATAAAATTACGAATCGGGCGTGGGATCATGAATCCAGCCCTAAGATTTAAAACATTCTTGTGTGGAGACGAAAAAGTTGACCACCTACCCAATATATAATCAAAGTACAATAAAAACTTCAGAAGTGGCTGATGATCCAGTCATCAAATCCCAGAAAATTAAAAGTTTGTGCAATGACACTTTCAATTTTTTTTTCTACTTTAAAGGTACACCTGCAATCTGCAAAAAGGGTATCACCACCGTGTTTTTTTACTGTATTCGAAGGGTCCATTGTCACAAATAAGGGGTGCAAAGAAAACAGAGAATTGCCAAAGCAACTATATATATTTTTTATGTTGGCATTTCTGTAAAATTTAAAATTGATTAATTTGACACACATTTCACCAGAATTCATGAAGTTGACGAAAATAACCCGTTATTTGAAAGTTATTTGAAAGTTATTTGAGTAAAATCATGTCTGTTGAAGTGCCAACACATATATTTGTTGATTAATTTAACGATTCAGAATATAATTTTCAATGTCTTTGCTTATTTCGGAAGTTAGAGACCTATATGCATGACCGTATTATCTGATACTTAATTATAAACTGGCTCACTTTATGATTTAAAAAAAAATCTAATCACTATGAAGGGTTCATCTTCATGGCTCCACTCAAGAGTATAGCCTTGAAGATGATAGTACAGCCTGATATAGAAAGCGCTCGCATATAATAAGTAAAAGTTTTTAAAGCTTCAAATCTCCGGACGCGAAATTAACACTGAAACCTTCTTCTAAAATTAGTGGCAACGTATGATAGTCCTCTCCTAATTCTTCAGAGCCTACTTGATCGTGAATGTGTGCACGCACCTCTCTCTCTCTCTCTTTCCCCTACAGTAATATAAGAAACTTAACTAGCAGAATTTTGCTTCAATATAGTTAAAATTAAAGATTCGGCTAATTACAATTACAATGAACAAAGATTACAGAATTCAATATATCTATCAGAAACTAATGAAGAGGAGGTTCACAAAGTTATTATGAAATTAAAACAGAAGAAATCTCCAGGTCATGATGGAATTTGCTCAGAAACGCTCAAATTGATTGTCAATGAAATTAAAACGCCAATAACTCACCTAATCAACAAATGTTTACAGGAAGGCTGCTTTCCCAAAATATTCAAAGTTGGAATAATGAAACCACTTTTTAAAAGTGGAGACAAAACAATAGTGAGCAACTATAGACCTGTATCACTGATCTCAAACATAGCCAAAGTAATAGAGAAAATTCTAAAAATAAGATTAGTGAATTTTACTAGGAAATTCAAATTGATATCTGATCAGCAATACGGATTCCGGGAGGAAAGATCAAAGGAAGATGCAATACAAAATCTGACTACTTGTATTTACGAAGCTCTTGACAAAAAAATCCAGCAAGGTGCATCTTCGTTGATTTATCCAAAGCTTTTGATACCGTCAGTCATACAAAACTCCTGAGAAAATTAGAGAACTGCGGAATACGTGGGAAAGCTTACGATATTTTTGAAAACTATCTATGTGACCTAGAACAGAGAGTTAGTATCGATGGATTTATGAGTTATCCCAAAATTGGTACTTATGGTGTTCCGCAAGGAATGGTTCTAGGACCAATCCTGTTTACAATATATTTGAATGAACTATTGCAGATACCAATAAAAGGTAAAATTTTGAGCTTTGCTGACGATACGGCTGTCTTGTATACCGACTCTTCATGGAACCAATTGAAAATGTCTGCAGAAAAAGATTTCATTGAGATCGAAAAATGGTTCTGTCACGATAAACTTACGATCAATTTCGAAAAAACCAAATATTTTCCTTTGACATCATACTGCAGTACATTACCTAATATGGGACCCCTAAATATAGGAACAATAATCACATACCTGAAGGCGAGTCAATAAAATATCTATATAGGTATCCATTTAGATAGACATTTTCGATGGCACCTACATATGAAAGAAATAATCGGAAAGTAAAGAGGTACTTTCTAAATTCAAAAACCTAAAAAACTTTCTTGACATTCAACATTTGAAAACGTTGTACTTCGCACTTGTCCAATCCCAACTATCCTATGGTATAATAGGTTGGGGAGGAGTGAATGATTGTTATACTAGGAATCTAAATGTTATACAAAAATGGATACTGAAGATTATATTTAATAGGAAAAAAACTCATCCAACTGCTGCCTTATTTAAAGAAGTGAATGTATATGATATTCGACAACTTTTTTGTTTGAGCATACTCAGAAATGTAAAAAAAGTAAACATAATCCACTCCTACAATACTAGGAAAAAGGCAAACTCTTTAAATGCACCACGATGTGACAAAACCAAAGACAAAGAAATGCAACATATCTCGGACCACCAAAATTACTAGAAAAAATAAAAAATATCAACAGTTCTCACATGTTTAAGAGAGAAGTGAAGAAATTCATTCCGAATACCGAAAGAACTTTCTTTTCTGATTTTGTTAATCAAACTATTTCAAACAGCAATTTAACTTAAGCATTTGTTGAGCAGACGAAAATAACTATGTATTCTGTCTGAAACTACTGTCTGTTAATAGGGTTATTGATTAATTCATCATTCATTATCTTTCAATGTTACATAAAGTATTTATACAGTTAATTACAATGTATCCTTATCACGAACAAGCTATAGATTTCTATGGCTTCTGTGATTATCTTGTTTATTTTCGATAGTACTCTATGTAATGTATATCAGTGTATGCGATAAAAAACATATTATTATTATATTATTATTATTATTATAATATATAGGCAGTGTGACCACCTGCTGGCAAATCTGGCATCTATTTGTGCAATGTTCTTCAAGAAGAACACTGGCTGGGTTTGACAGGCAAATCAGTTTTTTTCATTCGTTAGAGACTCTCTGACACGATTTTATACGTTTAATATTTAATTGATGTAGAGATCAAAACCAATGTTCTGTTAGGCAGTTTCAAAATAATGATTCTTCAGCATTGCAAAAACTTAATAATTATCAATCGAAAAAATCAAACCGTGATTCAATTGTCATTGATCAATTACCCGATATTTCTTTAAAATTCGTTAAAACAATTNAGAAAAAAATTCTTTCGAAACAAATACTTCTATATGAACACTGAATTATACAGAAGATACTTTTCTTTACTCAGTTTGTATTTCAAACATTCGTTGTGAAATAAGATCAGATATCATTCACATGAGTTCTACTTTAAATGAATGGTAACAAATTGTACTCACATGGAACACTGTCATCCTCACTGGTATACATCAATTTGTCAATTTGTTGCCATTCATTTAAAGTAGAACTCATGTGAATGATATTTGATCTTATTCCACAACGAATGTTTGAAATACAAACTGAGTAAAGAAAAATATCTTCTGTATAATTCAGTGTTGATATGGAAGAAAGAATTTTTTCTTTCATGTAATTCAATGTTTATATGAAAGTAGCTGTTTCAGGAGGACTTTCTTTCAGTTTGTGTCTGAAAGTTACTTCTCTGCATGATCTACACATCCATGTATAAGATATTTATTGACCTTCAAAAATTACAAAAATGTTTATGAGATAAATTCACAACATAATTGTGTAGATACGTCAAGACTGAGGTGTAGATATAAAAATGTATATGAAATTTGTAAAGTTATGTAAATAAAATTTGTAAAGCTGTAAAAATGAGATAATCCTAGAAACTAGGCTTTATGTAAGGTAGAACGTTAAATGGACAGTACTAAATATTAAGTCCATATATGGGAAAAACATCTTCAATATTATAAAGTGGATTGTTTTAAGTAGTGTTGTGAATGTCGTTCAATCTACTGGTATAAGGTTATATAGTTTAATTGGTAGATAGTCAGTCTGCTTCATTGTTTTAGTGTAGTTCACTCGAGGTAATCTATACAATTCTTTATTGCTAGTATTGTACTTATGAATTTCACTCCCCGTAGTGTTTGCATTTTTGTTTTGATGTATAATCGATGTTGCCAAATGGTGAAATAGAAACGAATCCCTTTAAATGTTAATGCATTATTTCATTCCTCTTTTTTAAGTATTTAAATATTTTTTTCAAAGAAAAAGGTTGAAATAATGAGTTTAAAATGCGTTGTTTTAAAACTCTTATATGAAAACTACTTGATTTTCGTCAGGAGGAAATTCCCTATTATACACTGTCAGCGCGCTGACAAATCCACTCATGGTAGAAAATTATGAAGGCGCAGTAGTCCTACAAACATTAAAAGTCCCGACGCGACGAGTGTGACACTTGACACTCTTGACAGCTTGATAATACTGGTTCAGCAATACTGTGGTGAAAGTTTGTTCCTGAACACATAGATTTGATAATAATAAAATCATACATTTAACTGAAATCTTCAATATATTTGCACGTTGATCCGAAAGTAAATTCTAATCCTTATTCATTTTGTATTTATTTGCTAGAATGGAGAAGAGAAATTCAAAATTAGATAAGATCTGGAGACAATATGATTCTTTAATACAGGAAAAAAAAACTCTTGAAGACAATTTGATTCTTGTTTTCAATCAGGTGTGTAAAATGATTATTCTTGGTAATAAATTAATTCCAATAGAAACTTTTCATTTTTTATAGATACATGTTTTTGTTGATCATGCCAGGAAAACTGGAAATCCCAAAGATCTTAATGAAATATTGACACTTGAGTTAAAAATTTTAAAAAAATTGACTGAATTCAGTATGGATTTAGAGAGAATTCTTGAGGACAAATCTGTTAGTATATCAGAAATTTTAGATAACTTTCACTGCATAAAAAATCCAATTGGGAACAAGACTGAACCATTTAATGAAAAATTTGAATTATCTGAGGTTAAATGTGAAATTGAAATGCCTGCTCAACATTCTGAACATCGCTTAGTAGATTCACCTGTTGAATGTACAACAGATATTGATGAATCATCTGCAACGATAATTCCATTTCAATTTTTTGAGTTGGGATGTGAAAATGAAAAGCATCAAAATGATATCCAGAACATGAAAAATTGCCTTGACAATGTTAATGCAGGATTGGGACTAAACCAGCAGAGTTTCTCACATGTGGGAGATTTTTATGAAAATTCATCAATCGGTCTTAATAAAACAAATCAGAGTGACCTATCCCAAAGGGTTGTTCCAGAAGAAGCTTCATGCAACACCTCAAAAGGAGCCATTTCAGTAGGGTTTGAAATACCAGAGAGGGATACTCTCATATCTGACATATTACAATCAGATCCTGACAATATAAGTTGTCCTGAATCTAAAAATTCACGTTTCAACACAATCACCCAAACAGATGAAGAAATACAAGATTCAGCTGGTGGAAATTCCATTTTCTGCAATGATAGTAGTGTCAGTGTTGAAACAAAAGTATCAAATATAACCGACACTGATTGTATATCAAGTATGAGAAGCCAATGTAAAACTCAAACAAACTCTGATTATAAGTATTCTGGGAACAGTAGAGATCAAAACCAATGTTCTGTTAGGCAGTTTCAAAATAATGAATCTACAGCATTGCAAAAACTGAATAATTATCAATCGAAAAAATCAAACCGTGATTCAATGGACATTGATCAATTACCCGATATTTCTTTAAAACTCGTTAAAACAAATCGATCCATTAGTTCTAAATGTGTGACCTCTGAAAATAATACACATCTGAAGAGACAGAAAAAGAAAGAGAATTTAGAAAGTGATGTGTGCAAAAGCAGTAAGCAGTGGCCTGGAAGCACAGTAAAATTGGATACACTTTATGGTAAGGTAATATATATTTGATTGTCCTGTAAACCAGAGCCTCAAATTTGCATAAAACGTGAAAGAGTGTATTCTTTGATGAATAATTTTTGTGGAAAGGTCAATGTTCTTGTTTTTTTAGGCGTATAACCTTTCATAATCCGAAAAATGAACGAAACTAAATCAACAAAGACTCTGCTGAAGTGTAATAAGGGACAAACTGAAGAAGTTCATCCCAAAAATGTTACTGTATAATAGAAACTACTGAAGAGTGAAATTGGTCAGTAACTTGTTGTATTCACATATTTTGCCTACACATTGAATAATCATCAAAAAAATGAAATTTCTATACTTAGCTTCCTTCAGATAAATGACATTTCGGAAAATAACTTTCTTCAGATGAATGACGTTTCGGAAAATAAATTTCTTCCTTTCTTACGCCCAAACAACTATATTTCCTTTTACAAATGTTAAAATGTTCTTTAATATTATGCGCTGTCTCTAAATTATCGCTTACAACTTTCTGCCAATCAATAGTATCGAAGGTTATGTTAGGTGGGATGTCCTGATAATAATAATATTTTTCATTGCAATACGATCAACAGTTGACAGCAAAATTCAAACTTTCAAGAAGTTTATTCTCATTTGCCCTAAGAAAAAGGTAGGTATTGGTTTAACAATGATTAAAACAAAATAAAAAATTTAAATTCATTAGTTCCTTCAGTAGAGGTCTATATGCTTTTATTGCCTGATAGTAAGCTCCTTTCTCATAATATGTAAGAGTTATGGCTGGGGATAGCCGGTTCGTTACAATGTCTGGTATTAATATTCTTAATATTTGATTATTGACCACTATTTCTGGGAAACAGGTTAGAATATTTTTTTACAAAGTGGACAAGACCCTGGTGTTTTCCAGATTTCGTTTGGATCATCTTTGAACTTGTGAATTTTATCAAAATAGTACAATTTTTTCTTTGATTTAAGAATTACCACACTATTTTTTTGCCCAATAGATTTCCTTGGCTGGTTCTGGCGAAACATAAATAAAATTAGAAATACTACATAATAATTTTTAATGATACAAAATGATACAAAAACGACTTATGTTTCGGAATTTTTGTCACCTTCAAATTCTAAAATATCAATGATTTTCAATCACAGAAATGTACAATGAATAACTTCACTTAGAATAAATGTTTTGAGTTTTTAGTGATGAGACTACACTATGATATGTAGGAATAAAATTTATAAATTAGAGATATTATACAGAGAAGGTAAAAATAAAATGAAAAAACAGAAAAAAAATATAAAGTGGTTCAAAAAGTAAGATGCAGAAACTTTATCTGTTTACTACTATTACTTTTTCTGTTTACTACTATTACTTTTTCTGTTTACTACTATTACCTGTGTTGTACAGTTTCCGTAAACGTTTTTTCATGATTGGTTTATAGAAACTTGATGGATAATTATTTGCTTTTAACACTAATGTGATCAAATTTAAGTTTTTGGTCTTTTCTCATGGTGGGGAAGTCGAATTGCATGGTCTGTTACACTTATCAAACTTTTTTTGTAACAAGTGGGTGCATTCATTTCAAAGTTGAAATAGTGTTGTGATTAAATATTCTTTTTAAACCAATCAATCTTAATGTTTTCGTGTACATTATATTTCAGGGTAGTATCCTGTTATTTTTTCAATTGTGAATTGCAGGTGAGGATGGAAGTAGTTCAAACCTTGATGAGTGTATTTTGATTTGTTGACAGGGATACATAAAACACTTGAATTATTTTTCAAAACATAACTTTCAACATTATAAGGAATTTGAAATCAGGAGAAATTGCCATTTACAATTCTGAATTTCACAACAAACATCTCCAATTAATTGAGAACTACCTAGTGAAAAATAATTATCCTAGAGCCCTTATTAGAAAAATAATTAAAGAAAGAAATTACTCTTCCCAAAATACAGGGGTGAAACCCAAATATCACAAAATTCCATTTGTAGAAAATGTATCTGATAAAGTTGGAATGCTACTCAGTACCCAACAAATTAAAGTGGCCTTTTCAAATAAAAATACAGTTGGAAAGCATTTTTAACAGAACAAAAAATGAAAACACAAGACATACATCCAATATAGTGTACAAATTGAACTACGGAAGCTGTCACAAATGCATTGTTGGTCAAACCGGACGGCTCTCGAAACACGAGTTTCAGAACACATGATATACTTTAGGAAACTAAATGTAAAAAACCCCACAGTCGTCGTTGAAGATGAAAATGAATATAGACATATGTTTGAATAGAACACCTACACATGCGGATGGTGAATTAAAAAGTTATTGTCTACAAAATAGTTTTTTCTAGAATAACTTGGCAATGCCTCAGTGGAAATTCGAAAACAAGAATTCCTTAGAGAGCTAAAAAAATATGGAATCGAATGACGTATTCATATAAAAAAAAGAAACTAGTTAAAATTAAGTGTTAATATTAAGATTAAACATAGATACATACATGTGAGACTATTAGTTTAGGTTGGGTTTGTGACTGCTCAGCGAGTATACGTCATCAAGCCCCCGTTTATCACACAAGTTTCATATTCCTCTAGTGAGTAGAAAGCATTGTCCGTCAAGAAGAGTTTAATAGTGAATTTAAACGTAACTTAACTGGTAGCACATTATATAGTTTGTAGTTGTTTATATGAATCATGTCAATATCCTCTTGGATCTAATGATAATAAATATTATCAGTATCATTATTACACTGACTGTGATAGTGTAGTGTTATCACTAAAGTGAAATTACTTATTGTACATTTCTGTTTGTGGTTTATTAAAATTTTCTAACCTGAAGATGGCAAAAATGCTGAAACGTACTTCGTGTTTGTGTCATTGAAAATGAATATGTTGAGTTTTTAATTTTGGATATATATTGATCGAATCTGCCAAGGAAATCACTGAATGAAGGAAAACGGTCAGGATAACTCAGTATTTATATTTCTATGTCGTTTGTATATTCGCCATTTAATTCGTTTTAAATTATTAGAGCTATTTCTGAACTTTCTATAAGATATGCCTCTCATCTGAATTTTATCAGACTTTATTGTGAAACCAGGAAACATTTGATTTATAAGTATAAGATTCAATATGTGCCATATCATTTATGAGGGGGAAAACGAATGAAACTACAAATACATTTTGATAAGGGTTACTGCCCTAGATCGATAATTTTTTATGTACATCTCCATTGTTGGAAGAACTACAGAAATGTAATACATTTGCTTTTGGTGCTTACCATCAAAAAATATTTTTTTATTTATCCAAAACAAACAGTTTCCTGTGCCATGCAATTCTTTTTTCCTAAGGGGAGTCGCAAGCTATGAGGTTCTTGAAGCAATTCATGCATTAAAAAATTAGAAATCGGTAGATACACATGCTTTAAATTGCCATATCATAAGACAAACATCAGATATAATTCTTGGGCCATTAACATCANACCTTTATAGCATAAATAGGATTAGCTCGCACTAGTCCTTAGTTTTAATCTTCCTCTTTGAAGATGATCACTTGGTGATCGAAACACGTGTCGAGGTGTTGAAAATAACGATTTGGTGTTGGGGAAAAAACTCCAGTAATATTTAGGTATGCTAAGTTATTAAAAACTCCAAGGTATAGATTAACCAAATATCAACATAATTCTCCGAATATCAATCTATATAACTGCTTGCTGGAGAGAATCAAATCACTATCTTTTGATCAGTTCAAAAAACGCACAAGAAAATATATTCTTGAACACTGCTTTTACTCCACAGACGAGTTTCTCGTCACAACAAAGCAACTGAGTCATGCACTCAACACATCGCTTCTCTGAAATGTTCCATTCTGTTTATGCTATTTATTTATGCCTCACTTGATTATGTTTGTAACACTTTCAAAATATCATATGTTTTATTGTATAATTTTATTCATTGTATACTTTATATTGTATCTATTTATATATTATTGACATGCCATAAATGTATTTATATATGTAACGTGGTGAAAATATATCTATCTATCTACTGCACCGGATTGGCCCTTTTATAATAGTACAAGCATGAAATATAATAAATATTCATATACAATTTTCACCGTTCTCACTGAATCGATTGATAATAGTTTGCATTTTCGTAATATAAAGCCCAGTAGTTTTGATGTATTGACAGCGATTAGACTTATATGATCTACAAATCGAAATTGCTTTTTAAAGATTACTCCTATATCGTTCATTAAATTGACATGTGTTAGTAGATTATCATTCAGGGAGTATGAGGTGTGAAATTTTCTATTCACTTTGTAAAAGATGATAAAACTACATTTGCTGATGTTCATGTCAAATCATCTAGAGGAACAATTCGTTCAGGCTAGTCTCAACTCCCTACACTGTAGGTTAATGGACTGACACCTATTAGAAAACAACTACTCCCTTGGCAAATACCATGAAGGGCGTTGGATTATATTCGACAGGTGTCAAGTGCAGGATTCTTCACTGACGTTAATTCCTGTATATGCTGTTGGCGATACAACTGCCGCAATAGATTTTCAATTGGAATATACTTGCAGACCGGTTTCGGGCTGTTTGGCCACTCATCAGTGCAAGGTAGTGTCTATCATCAACATAAAGTCGATGATTTCCCAATGGGGATCATCTTCTAGACATAAAACTATTGAAATTTCCATAGAAAAAAAACACTAGTATATTTTTTGAACAAGTCATTACACTACAAAGCCTTTTAGGAAGTCCAAAAGACAAAGTCGAGAATTCGGAAAAGTCTGGAATTTACAAAATCAAATGTAAGGACTGCTTGTTATTTTCCGTGTCTGATACGGTCCTAGCATGGCCATGGTTGGTACGGTATAGTGGGCAGAGACCTTAATCTTTAGCACTAATTCAGATGGTGTAAGGCCAGCTTCTTTCTGATTATTTTCCTATCTTCGCAATGAAACTTAATTCTAGCGAATTTTCTTCTTCCAGTTGCTCTACCTCTTCTTTTGAAATCTTCAAAGAACTAAAACAGACTCTACTGGTGTGGCCTTTTCTGTTACATGCAAAGCATTCCCATGCTTTTGCTGGACAATTCTCTGGGCCATGCCTTCGTCCACATCTTTTGACGTATTACTAGATGGTGGTTGTGGCTGTGACTGTGATTGCGACCGATTCTCTAATTTAAATTAACTTTCACGACTCCCAAACTTCTTTTGATTTTAGTACTCTCCACCCATGGCTCTAATTTGACCCTCCGCTAGCTCCATTGCCACAGCAGTGTTAAAGTTATTTAACCATGTATTGAAGACTGTATTGAAGTATTGCACTAGCCTACTAGCTACTAGTTGTTGTCAATCACTTTATCTAAATCAACCTAATTCCAAAAATTTGAAAAGTTTCTCTTGAATAGGCATGTCGATGTATTCAGATCATTCTCCACTCTCACCTTTCTCTTAAGTGGAAACTAGATTCGCGATGTATTAATCTTATTTATTTTTTTCACTGATGAACGCGTCCATTTGTCTTTTACCAACAGTATCTACATACTGTACATACATTGTTGTAACAGTTGGGCTGAAAAGTGGGTAGGCTTACATAGAAAAAAAATGTATTGCCTTCGAGGGCGATACAACGATTATAGAGGTGATACAATTTTTCGATACCATTTTTATAGTACGATTTGTCTTTAGCCTTGAAATAGTCCTAGTTTCGTTAATTACCTTTTCATCGACGATACATTTCTTTCCAGCAAGCATTTTCTTGGAATCAGAACAAGAAAAAGTCGCTAGGTGCCAGATCTGGAGAATACGGTGGATGCGGAAGTAATTCGAAGCCCAATTCATACAATATTTCCATCGTGCCCATTGATGATGAAGCATCACTTACTTTTTTCAAATGGGACCGTTTTTCGTGATGTTGTTCTTTATATGCTAGGTAATAGTCCTTTTCAAGAAAGTCGATGAATATTATCACATGAGCATCCCAAAATACTAATACCATAACCTTGTCAACCAACTGTTGGGCCTTTCCACGCTTTGGAGTTCACCACGTGGAACAGCTTCAAACAATGCTCATCAATTCGTTGTTGTTTTTGGTCGATTGTGTGCCTGCGCGGCACCCTCTTTGAACAGAGCTTTCTCATACCCAAATATTCATGCACGATATGTCCAACACATTCCTTTGATATCTTCAGACCTCAGGATAGTCAATCAACTTCACTTTGCAGTCATCCAAATTTATTTTTTGGACTTTTTTATGTTTTCATCGGTAACAGGCTCTTTGGGGCGTCCACTGCCTGCATCGTCCTCGGTGCTCAATTCACTTCGTGTAAACTCAGCAAACGACTTCTCAACGGTTGATTTTCCTAGTGCAAAGTCCGAATAATGTTTATCAAGTCAAGCCCTGGCTTCAACAGTATTTTTTTGCCAAAAATCAATGGTTTATCAGCACACGAAATTCCTTTTTATTCGTTTTCTTCAATCTAACAAAAGTGGCTTCAATCAAAATGTTCTATCCCACAAACTAATAATCCGATAGCTGTGAAACTTGTATAAGTGTCTTTTGAAGGTTAGGGTTAACTGATGATCATATTTATAGGTTTAATGTGCCATCTGCCCACCTAATATTTCTCAAGATACGTGTTCAAGGCAAAACATTCTGTTCTACTGCAAAATGACAATTTTGTTGACTTATCAATTTAAACAGGTTGTCTTTTCAATTCTTTTCAGAGCCAAAACGTAAAAGGACTCCAAAAGTCGGAGATGAGTGTGCCTTCAGTCACATAGAGTCTCCCTCGGAATTCTATATACATATAGATGATGAAGAAACTAGTATGATCGACAGGTAAGCTACTTACTCGAATTCACTATTATTATTGAAATACATTGACAAAATTACGTATTCAAATTCACCAAACAGAAAAATCAATAAAAAAAGGATTTGAACTTTTGTTATTTCCCATGTACCATGTACTTTAAGATAAACTCAGATAGTTGTTGGTACACAGATGGATCAAAAACACCTTCCGGTTCTGGTGCAGGCGTTTATAGTCGCATACCAAAGACAGAGATATCTACCTGCCTAGGAGCTTATGCGACTGTATTTCAAGCGGCATTGGAAGCTCTTGGCTCCTACTGAGCAACGTCTAAATTGGTAGCAAATTGCAAAAAACGACTCTCCTCGATAGGAAGACTCAACAGATTGTCTCTGGTCTGGATTCCTGGCCATACTGGCCTGGAAGGTAATGAAGCTGCCGACTCCCTTGCAAAGGAGGGTGCTGCAAGCAGCTTCATTGGTCCAGAACCTGTCATCGGCATCCCCTTAGGCTTTGCCAAACAAACGTTGAACACCTGGATGGCAAGAAGATTTATGGACGTCTTGCAGAACCTTCCAAGATTGGCTCACTCCAAGGCGTTTATTCAGATTGGCTCACTCCAAGGCGTTTATTCACCCTTCAAAGCTTGATACCAAACAGTTGTTGGACTACAGTAGGGATGAATTACGATGTCTATCAGGCCTTCTTACAGGTCACTGTCAGTTGAATCATCATATTCAGAGACTCGGACTGTCGGAAGACAGTGTGTGTCGCCTCTGTTTGGAAAATGATGAAACAGCAGAGCATATACTTTGTACCTGCTCCGTTGGGGACTGAATCAGGTTTTTAGAGTTCGGTAAAGCCGTACTCTTACCATCTGACCTGAAAGATCACTCACCATACAAACCAATCAGCTTCGTTAAGAAGCTGGGTTTATTTGGTCGAGTGTGAATAGATTTGAGCCACAATAAACCCTTGAGGGTTGCGGTGGAGGGTCGAATACACCCACTCAACCTCACTCACCTAACCTAAGATAAACTCAATATCCATCCCTGAACTTACTGAATAATTGAAATTGAAAAGACCCCAAAGTTGCATGATAGCAATGATGTCCTTTCATGTACCCCAGAGAAACACAAGGAATAAATATTTATTAGCTACTTCCACATATAACACCAATGTGAGGAAAAACTCTCCAATAAATAGAATTACAGACTCATTCAACAGATACTGTTCCAATTTGGACGTTTTCTCCATGTCCTTACAAATGTATAAAAGTAACATAAGGAAAATTCATTATTTGTCATATTGTATTATAGTGATTAAAGCCAATTTCATTTTCAATCTATTTATAACAATTTGATCAACAAAATTAAGACTTTGATTGCGGAAAATAATGGAAGATATCTTTGAGGTTTATAATGAAACCTCAGATGAAATTGAATTGAAATCAATGATAAACCACATATCTCCTAATATTTTCGGAATAATCAGTGAGTATAAAGTCTTCATCAGCTCTAAGTGCACTCGACAAAGTCTATGTCTTACCCAAAACGAAATTTTCGCCTGTCATTGCCTTGTTTCACGAATTCAGAAGGCTGGAGAAACTATCGATGAATATCTTCAAGAACTGAAACAATTGTCGAATTTTAAAGCTGTAGCAGCAGAACAGAATCAGAATGATAGTATGTATAAGAGATGCTTCATTGCCGGTTTGTACTTACATTACTTTCAAGTTGAATGAAGCTTTTGATAAAGCTCGATCTCTGGAAATGCCTCAACTAGATTCTGCAAAGTGCAAATTTGATTTGACTTTTTGCTTTTCATTCAGAAACAAAACTGACAATAAGTGTAGCTATGTAGAACAAAAGAATCTCAACTGATTAATACAAAATTATATCCATCTAACAAACAAAGCAACCCAAACAATGATAGATGCGTGATCAAAGCATGATCACCACACACATCTGCATCTATTGAGTGAAATAAACAAGCCTCCTTACGCTGGGTGCCAATCAGATTCAACTGCAATCATTGTTATAGTGTCGGAGTGGTCAGTTACGTTTCAACACCTGTGATGTGTTCATATACGGTATTTTAAACTTCATAATTTTTAAAAAGTCAAGTACTAATAAAGCCGAATAAAGTGCAAATTTTTGTCCTTACCCCCCACCTAAAGAATGTTCCTATACTCAGCCGCATATTATTAAAAAAATAAAATAAAATTTAGGATGCTCTTCAGTGCGACTCTGTACAAGCAGCCTTGTCTGGGAGATCTTGTGCACTATACATGATAATGTTTCGGAGTACTCCGTTGCTTGGTTGGAGTCTAGGTATGAAATTAATTAACTTCCTCCGGGGCTCGCAAATGACTAGTTTGGCTTTAATAAAATTATTTTTGTGATGGGTCGACGATAAACACCTGTTGCTGTAGTCACTTGAACTATTAGTACTCTGCCATCTGGACCAGGAAAAATTTGAGTAACTTTTCTTTGCGGCCATGAGTATCTGGGAAAACTAACATCTGCAATAATGACAGTGTTCTTTCTGCAACATCACTGCCATTTGCCGGTAACCCCCGTTTCTAGAAAAGGTCCGTATATCTTTGTGCCACTAGCCATTGTTTTCTTAAATGTGAAATTGTATTAGCAGAAACACCCAGTGAATTCACTTCATTGGACTTTTCAATAAGGAAGTGGTTGGGCGTCAAAGCTTCCGCATCTTGATGATCAGAAGGCACATAAGTCTTTTTTTTTTGCTATGCACAAATGGACTTGACATTACTGGCAAAAAATGTGTGTCCGAGATTTACAAGTCGGCATTTTGCACCTACTTGCAAAATTATTATTGTCAAATTCGGGACAGTGCTTTATTCCATCGAGTCTAACTTCGTCTACTGTCTTCATTTCTTTTCGGTTTCTGATCCTTACCATCGGTGAAATTGTTGGCGAATCTCTCGAAGGCCGTCCTCGTGATTTCGGTGTCGACTCAGCCCTGGTCCAACCAATTAGGCCCTCAGCAACATATGCACGAAAATGCAATAAATCTAAAATTGTATTTTTGTTCACTCCAAGATCCTCAGCCTTCTGCCGGTACTCGATCCAACCGTTTGTGCATGCTATATCGATTCCATGGGTGAACATACGAAGTGTCCATTTACGAATTCGAATTTTGGTTTTATAGAGTGTGAGCAGAAAATCCATTTTGTCTACCCCTTCCATATGGCTGTTGTATCGTTTGATAACTTCCGGCCGGGGGATATTTATATATTCTTTTTTCACCTTATCCCAACGTTTGCGTGAATCAGCCTCTCCCACACTCATGTAGTTGGACGCGATGACAACACTTTTACTATCAAACTATTTGGTGAGCACCACTTGGCCATCGTTACTGATGTGTTCTTCCGCATATCTACGACCTTTACTTTTCATTATAGTGTCTGAGGAGAATGGAGGTCTACCAAAACGGTCCACCCGTGCGGTACCAGAAGCGTAAATGTATGAATTTCTCAAATACTGCAGTAAATTATAATTCGAAAAATAGTTGTCAAAGTAAAGTTGTATGTTGACTTCCTTCAGCCTTTCAGAAAGTTTGAGTACAATTGAAGCTACAAGTCCAAAAACTTCTTGCTGCTCAATAGTCAGCTCAGTTGTACTCCCTTGGTATATGAGAAAATCATACATCAGACCACTCGACCTTTATAAAGCGAACTGTTTGATACCCCATGGACAAGGTTTTCCCTTTATATACTGCTTCACATTTAGCCTCCCTTTGAAGGGAATCATTTGCTCGTCGATGCTCAGCTCCAATTCCAATTGAAGGGTGGTCATTTGTTCACATAGGGTGTTATACAATGGCCGTACTTTCCACATTCTGTCCGTATAATTTGGGCCCCTTTCTAGTACATTCAAGAAATGCAAGGCTGTTCGCAGTCGGTGAAATCGATCGCGAGGCATTGCATCGGCGATCATGGGCACACGTAATCTATTTTCCTAGTAACATCTTACTCTGGGATAATGAAGATTGCCCATCAATATATGTATTCCGATGAGTGTCTCCATTTCATCTATCGTTGTTAGTGGGCATTTCATAAATTTCTGCACAACATATAGATTTGTATGCTCAACCATGGAAGAGATAAGCTCAGGAGTAAAATACTGCCAAAAGAAATACAGAGGACTTTCAAGATCAGTCACTTCATTTTTTTGGCCTGTGCCAAGTGATGTTTGGGGTAATATATCTCATATTTTTTCGCCAAAAGATGTCTTTTTTTGAGCGTCAATTCATTATTTTCGAAGTAATTTTTTATTCGAGCAGATTTACTCAAAGGATATTCTTTGTCGCTGACATTTGTTTTACTTTGTGAAACATATTCACTTTCAAGGACATCATCAAGTCTCTGTTCCTCGATGTTTTCTTCTTCCGGGAGAATATCTTCCACATCGTCTCCTCGAAGAGGCGCGATTACATCTGTAATTTCATAATTAGCACTAGAAATAACATTGAAAATCACGTAGAAATACCAGAATCTGATTCCCATCCATCGTCTTCGTCACTCAAAATGTCAATATCCGACAGGTCTTGATGAATCAGCTCAAAGAATTCGTCATGAGACAGTCCCCTTTTAGCCATTTTTTGAAAAAAACGCTGAAATAATTGGATTCCTTTTGAATTGAAAATAAAAAAGGTTAGAATTTTGTGCATACCTTTCAATCGTCGAATCCCAGTGTGCACTCTTTTAGCCATTTTTTGAAATAACGCTGAAATAATTGTATTCCTTTTGAATTGAAAATAAAAAAGGTTAAAATTTTGTGTATACCTTTCAATCGTCGAATCCCAGTGTGCACTGTCGTGTACAGGCATTTGACAGTCCCAAAAAACCTACACAAAAACATTAGGCCCCGATCATCTATGAAAACACACACTTTGAAACCTTATTGTAACACTATATTATTTGTTTGAATATATTTCAAACTATCTGTTAAGTACAATGAATATCCGAGAGACCTGCGGAGAAATGTTGCCATCTGCCTTCCCGAGATGGTAATTTGTCGATAGTTTCAGTTATTCGTTCAGAGATGACAGTTCATTTATATCTCATCTAACATCAATTAGGTATACACTCAAATGTACGTTGGGTTCAAAGCGCTCCACAATAAGAAATTCTCTATATGTGATGATCAAACTTACGTACACTACAGTGTACGCCAGGTCCGAAAGGGTTAAGATGTGCAACCTCCTGCTGCTGGTAATGATCCGACAAGTCATAGCATCGAAGTTTCGCCAGATTCAGAAATATCAAGCGCAACTGCTCTGGTTGTTTCTTGATTGCGTTATTCGAAATACGGGTATAATAGAAGGTCGCTTGTTGATCTTTGTTTCCAAAAGTAACATTGATGTTCGCTCAAGAAGTTGAAGCCTTCCAAATATTTAAGGATACAGGTGATTTACGGCTTACTTCATGATTTTTGATATCACTGATAGCAAAGCGACAATTTCAGTAAGAGTATTTAAGATCTCTTCTTTCGGGCTTGTTGGGTAAGAATTACCTTTAAGCACTTTTAACATATTTAATAATACTTACATTCATCCCACATGACTGTTGCTGGTGGATTCTTGAACCATTTTATATGACGAATGCAGCAAAACTATTGAGTTCGGTTTGAATCTAGTTCTTGGATGGCTAGTTTCATTTATTTTTTCAGCACCGCAGAGGTTTGGTCCACTATCAGGAGTGTATTTCTTATAGATTACCTCTTCTACAAATGAATCTACGAATTGGCACGATGACAGAGTCGTAGTAAGGAAAGAAGCCAGTTCTAGATGAATTACCCTCGTTGATATGCAATTAAAAATAACCCCGTACTTCTTTTCCTACCTTCTGCCAATTGTGACTCCCATCGGACCAAAATGTCCATGCTTGTAATCAAGAATGGTCTGCATTGTCACACTGTCCTGAAATGCGGAATAAGTCCCATCTGTTGAGTTTCAATCCTGGCGTTATTTTTCTTGCATATAATGCAGGAGATATAAAAGCTTTTACTGCTGATCTCACCTTGATTATACAGGGCTTTTCATGATCAGCATTAATTAGCCGTTTCTGGCAAACTATTCAACGGATCAACCTGAAAATTCCACAGTATGCATAAGTCAATATGACCTACACGCCTAAAATATTTTAGACGAAGTGGCGTTGTCGTTTCTACTATAAAGTGGCGGCTTTTTTGATTTTTCAAATGGTAGTTTATTCCACATAAACGCAGTTCTCCAAATAAAAGAGTTGTTAAAGAGTGAAGTTCGAGGTGTACTGAGTTGAACCTCAAAACGATAAGCAGCCACAGTCCATTGCGTATTTCTGCTATATAGGTACCGCTCTTGGTAGAATCAAATGTGCCAAGTCACTTGAACATCTCCCGTGAAAGTATCTACAAACGAAAGACAAATCTCCAACTTTTCTTTGATGTTTCAGACTATCAGACTACATGATTGGTGTTCATTTTAACCCCCAATAAAGTCATCAAAGCGGAATTGTCTGTCCTGAAATTATTATATTCTGTTCGGAAATATTTATCTTTTTGGAGAAAACCGATGCCTGGTTACTTTCAACCAAATTCAAAATCACCCTGTAGATCCTCATTAAGATATGCAACCTCCTGCTGCTGGTAATGATGTGTGTGGCTGGAGAGCCACACACAAAAATGATCCGACAAGTCATAGCATTGAAGTTTCGCCAGATTGAGAAATATCAAGCGCAACTACTCTTGACTCTCCATGTTTCTTTATTGCGTTATTCCAAATACGGGTAATATACGATAGAAGATCGCTTGTTGATCTTTGTTTCCAAAAGTCACATTGATGTTCGCTCAGAATGTTGGAGCCTTCCAAATATTTGAGGATACAGGTGATTTACGGCTTACTCCATGATTTTTGATATCACTGATAGCAAAGCGACAATATCAGTAAGAGTATTTAAAATCTCTTCTTTCGGGCTTGATGGGTAAGACTTACCTTTAAGCACTTTTAACATATTTAATAATTCTCACATTTATCCCATATGACTTGTTGCTGGTGGACTCTTGAACCATTTTATATGACGAATGCAGCAAAACTATTGAGTTTGGTTTGAATCTAGTTCTTGGATGGCTAGTTTCATTTATTTTTACAGCACCGCAGAGGTTTGATCCACTATCAGAGTGTATTTCTTATGGATTACCTCTTCTACAAATGAATCTACGAATTGGCACGATGGCAGAGTCGTAGTAAGGGAAGAAGCCAGTTCTAGATGAATTACCCTCGTTGACATGCAGTTAAAAATAACCCCGTACCTCTTTTCCTACCTTCTGCCAATTGTGACTCTCACCGGACCAAAATGTCCATGCTTGTAATCAAGAATGGTCTGCATTGTCACACTGTCCTGAAATACGGAATAAGTCCCATCTGTTGAGTTTCAATCCTGGCGTTATTTTTCTTGCATATAATGCAGGATGATACGAAAGCTTTTACTGCTGATCCCACCTTGATTATATAAAATTGTTTCCTTGAATGGTTCATGATTTTTTCTTTTCATTGATGAGGATTTAGTTTATGATAATGTATTATCAACAAAATGGTCATCCATTTTCTTGAATCCAGAACAATAGGCTATCTCATACGTATACCTTCAACCATTCATTTACTAAGTCTGGCGATAAGTAAATTTGAATTTAGAAGACGACTTTGTTATCTAGGTTTTTTCATATGATTTAATATCTCAATATTTTCGAAGAAACAACTCATTTGTTATTTCCTAATGATTTCGAGCTCAATCTTTTGAAATTCTCCAACCGTTAGCTCATCCGACAAAATCTGAGAAGTTGGTAGACCAATTTTCTTCTTCACGAGTTAAATGGATCTCATCACCCAAGCGACCGCTGACTTGTCATAAATAAGTCGAACATCTTGAAAAATGAAAAATTTCTTCACATCTCTCGTTGATTACATGAACAATATTTTCCTTTTTTTCTACTTCTGTGCCATCTTTTGTCTTTTCTTCAGAATACGGTCTTCTGATCTCTTTCAAAGTCAAGTACTGAGGACCTTCAAACCAAATTTGGAAGTAATCAGTGTTCCTGGGACCCCTGGTTGCTTCATCTGCTGCATTGCACTTTGCGTGTAGCCAATGCCAAATATCTGCGGCATTGGACATTTTAATGTTGATATCACAGAAATTTTAATAATGGAAGTGCAGGTATACGAACCTGTTAACGATTAAATTAATGAAAAAATTCTCCACATGAAATAAAATGTACACGAAAACCATTGTAGGAAATAACTTCTATATATAAAATCAGTACACAAAATCGAAAGATCACAAAATATTTACCTAAACTATGAAAACGTTCTTCGATTAGAAAATTGTAACAAACAAATCGGATTATAACAGTTGTATTCACACCGAGTTGACAACAATAACAACAAAAATGGTATCTGTCAAATTGGATCACTATATTTCAGTTCTGTGATTGGATATTAAAAAACCAATACCCTTGGCAACACTGTAGACACGATCAATGTTATTGGTGAACAGACACGCGGCCAATTTGAACTCTTGCTTCTCGAATTTTTCTGCAAATATAAAGAGATTTTGGGACCGATTAGGCTTGATAAGTATAATATACCCCTAACTCGATCAGCATATAAGCAAACCAGGATCATTTTCAATAGTATGAATCTAGCCCATTCTGGGTACTGTCATGGGTTTCAAGGAAGTGACTCCTGACTTAGCCATTACCAAGGTATTGTGAAATCTGATCACTGGAGTCTTTCATTCGAAAACATGACTCAGCAGCATATCATTTTTCACCGCCATCAGTGAAAATATATAGTTGCATTTCAACAGTACAACATACAGCTGCTGAATACATCGAGGAATTTTCAAAATTTTTATTTTGTATAGAGCAGATATATTTTTGTGAACCAGACTTACTGTTTCAAGAATAAATAGAGAGGTCATTGTTAGTATTCCTTGTTCAATGAATAATGGTTTGCAGAGTTCTTGAAAATAATGTAAAGGGATTGAAGTCACTTTTGAAATAGAGGTTTGATTTGGCTTAACAAATCAATGTGAGCTTGAATGATTTTTTTTAAAATTTCGATACTATTGTTTTTGGGTTTTCAATTATATGATCACCTATCTTGAATGTAATAGGTATCGCTTTGTGTATTATTTTTATTTGTGATCTCAGATTCGTTCCATAAAGAGCAACTTGTACTTGGTGAATTGAATATAGCGTTTTGATATTAGTGTTTCCTTTCTTCTTTCATCAATAAATTGATGAGTGGAAGTGGAGGTTGAGTGGAAGAACAACTCAGTAGCACTTGTGCTAACTAAGTTGAACTTCGCCTTTTGTTATGTCAGCAACTAGCTCTCTAATTTATTTAAATATTTGTATGTAACTACAGCTGGGTAACAATAAAGACGATTATTATTATTATTATTAAATGGTGCTTTTCCTTAGATTCTTTATGTGCAGGTTCAAAAATAGAATAGGCATTGTTCAGTATAAACAAATCTTTTAAAAATGTACATTCTGCACTAGAGGTCTATTCCTACTTTTTAATTTATATGTCCCTCATCATAACCACTGTAAAAGATTAGAATGATTACATAAAGAGTTTTTGAATTTTTTTTATTCCAGCATTAATGAGCAAAGCAACGAGTATTTTAAAGGAACAGTTTCATCATATTGCAGTAAACGTGCGGCTGTAGGTGATATTGGTAAATTTTGCTTTTCATATATACCAGATTATCATGGATGGTTCCGAGTGGTGGTTTTGGACTGGTGTTTGGTAAGTTATAGCAAAAGTATAACTCTTGGAAATGACATTACTTTTATATTTTAGAATGATACAGAAAACGTCCTAATTCAACTTGCAGACTATGGAAATATACGAAATACGTCATACAAAAACCTCAGGAAAATGATTAAAGAAATTAGCGACATACCGTTACTTGCGATTCGATGTCACTTTCCTCAGGTAAGATTTACCAATATGTTATGGGTATCAACTTTTCGTTCAGGAAATGCGGTTATATTAAATGATTTTTTCCTATCATTTCAGATGTTTCCATTTGGTTCAACAGCCAATAATAAGCTAACTGATTGGCCAGATGTTGCTATAGAAGCTCTTATAGGCTTAAGCAGGAATAATGAAAACCAAAATATGTTCAAAGTAGTGTATGCAGAGAAAAAATCGTGAGTACTTATTCTCATTTTAGCATTTCATTATATCTATCAAAAGGTAAAGGATAGGAAATTTCTTAAATTATCATGCAGTTGCGTATCTACTAACTTGCTGTAGGATGCCAATTTTTCCAATTATCTTTAAAAGAATGATACATTTCTTTTCATCTGTGTCTTCCGATACTGGGGAGCCCGAACATTTTTTTGAATATAATCAAAATTGTTTATTATTGATTTGAAATCCCTGAAAGAGTCTGTGAAAAAATTATTAAAAAAATTAAAAAAGGATTAGCTGAAAAAAATAATAATTATAATAAGCAAAAAAACTGAAATTGCAATGAAATAAAATACAAACAACAACCAAAAAATTAAAAAAACAAGAAATGAAAATTAAATTATTCCAAACCTAGTTACTTCACGACGTTTCGATTGTTAGTATCCACAATCGTCTTCGGGTGATAACTGACTGGCTGACTCCGAGATCTGACTATTTATAGGTCATTCGAGTGCTTTCACCTATCCCCTCTTCCCTATCTGAACAAGAAATCCAACCACCATCAATCGACTAAGAGAGGAATCACCAAGACTCTACTAGACCGTGCTTTCGGGCTCTGTAATACAAAGGAAGGTTTCGAAAAGGAACAACGAAATGGTTACTCCAAAGTGATGGCGGAACAAGCTTTAGCTAGAAGACAGCAAGAGCTCCACAAGGAAGAGAAGCCGCCACAACCAGTACTTGTACTTCCCTACATCAGAGAATTGTTGGAAAGAATAAGAAGGATTGGGTCCAAGTCATCAGAACCTGCTTCAAATCTGGGAACACTATACGTAGCAGCCTCACAAAAAACAGGCCACCAAACGTGGACTGTGATTCCAAGAATTGCATTTACCAGATACCTTGCGAGTGCAGAAAATCATACATCAGTGAAACTAAGAGGCCATTGAAAGTTCGCATTGCCGAGTATAAGAAACACACACAGCGAGGAGAAACCAGCAAATCAGCAATAGCAGAGCACATTTAGACTCATCAGCACAGCATCAAGTGATCCCAAGCTAAGATCATACACAGGGAGGAACATTGGTTTAGGAGTAAATTCAAAGAAGCCGCATACATGTTGTCCAACAATGTAGTTAGCCAAGCTACCGTAGAGATACGCTACACACGTACGGTTATCTCCCGCTGAACCGGTGAAGCGGAAAAAGGAAAGCGGAGATAACTGAAAGTACTCGAATGACCCGAAGACGATTGTAGATACTAACAATCGAAACGTCGTGAAGTAACTTGGTTGGGAATCTTTTAATTTTCATTTCTTGTTAATAATTTTTTTTTTAATTTTCATCTTGTGGTAATAGTTTAATTTTTTGGTTGTTGTTTGTATTTTCTGTATCTGTAGAGTAGGGAGGGTGAGTGTAAGCCCACGCACTTAGGCCACATGTGACCCATTGTACATCCTCCCAAGGAGTTGTTCTCCTAGGTCGTTGTCCATCCTGTCCTTTCCAGGAAGGTGGACAGGTCGCTGGGAGACATCTCCTTTATATCGGCAGGTGTAGGCCAAGACTCGCCGAACACACACTCTCTTATTGACGATAACTCCGGGCACTCGCACAGGACATGCCTGACAGTCTCATCTTCCTGTTGTTTGTATTTCATTTCATTGTAATTTAAGTTTTTCTGCTTAATATAATTATTATTTTTCAGCTAATCTATTTTTTTATTTTGTTACAGATTCTTTTCCGTATTTCAAATAAATTTATATCATATTAGACAATGGAAGTACGAACTAATGAGATTTCAAAAACTATTTCATTTCATCAATTACTTTTGTCTCAATAGTAACTGTATCTAAATCTGCAATGTACTGATCCATGAATAATTTGAATGTATTCACCAGTTATTCATCAATATAAATAGTTCATCTGCCAGTAGATCTTGCCATGATTTTTCAAAATTAGTTTATCATTTTCTGTTTTTTGTGCAAGGTTCCTTCCGTTTTTATACCAAATAAATTTGAAGCCATATTTCTTCAGTTCTTTTGATTTCCCAAATAAATATTTATTTCTTGGTGTCAGTTCTTCATTAATATAAATTACATTTGTAGATTCTCTTATTCCTAAAGATTCAGTGGTAAAATTTCCATTTGTTCTATAAAACATTTAAGCAGCATACAAAATACTTCTTTTNAACATCTTCCAAATAAACAAAATTACTAACAGAAATAAAAATCATTTCTATTATTAAAAATATTCAAGTAATCAATTGCAACTACTCCTCAACCGGGTTCCCCAATGAATTTTGAAAAAAAAATACAGAAAATAGTTTTGCGTTGCTGACCCTTTTTTTGAGATGTCATTTGAGACATTTTTTTTTAATCTCAAATAGGGGAAGCACACATTGATACACCCTGTGTGTGTACCGGTATGCGTGTGTATTTTACTGATGACGATCAATTATTTCGAAACACACGTCTACGATTTTTTCTGAATGCTACTTCCGATTTAACTCTCTTAATTACTCATTTTGTTTTAAGACAATCCGTTGCCATTGACCTAATCTGTACTCTGGATGGATCAAAAGATACTGTTGGACAAATATTGATGGATATGGGAATAGCTGTACAGATTTTTGAGGTAAGTTAATCATATGAATAATGTATTTTTTGCCGTAGTATGTATGTGTGTTTTTCAGGAACATCAATTATGATGATTTTTCGAATTGGACGAAATTTAGTGATAAAGGGATCTCAATTGGAATATACATTAGTTCTATATGTTATATACGTTTATATTTTTATTTATACATATATTGATTGCGAATTAAAATAATCTTTTTAATTATTACTCTTTATAACTACCATTATTCCTACCTACCCTAATACAAGACAAAATAACTATCAGTATAGTGGAGACTTTGTTACATGGGTCTGATTATAGAAACGCTCAGTTTTTAAGCTGTGGGGACTGAAACAATAATTTACTGGTATTACAACGTGCTTCAGAAAGGTTCGGCTCATCGGATTTCGTCAAAAATTAGGTATCGATTAGCATGCCTTATAGAACGGCCTTAAAATGAAGGAAATGAAATTGTTAAAACCATTTTCTAACAATCTGGATGTAGCAAACTCCAGCATGATAACTATACACTGTCTGTTAGAAAATAAGGTGAATTTTCATTTTTGTTAAAAAAAGTTTTAGTTGTTCATCAATTTCTATTTTGTTTCTTTCAAAGTAGTGCACCTCGGATAGGTACAATACACATGTGTCCTCGAAGCAGTTCTGATGTGCACTTTTTGGTATGATAACTCGGTTATCACCCGAAGATGATTGTGGATACTAACAATCGAAACGTCGTGACGTAACTTGGTTTGGAATCTTTTAATTTTTCATTTTTTGTTAATATTTTTTTAATTTTCAGTAATCGGTTTCTGAGGTCAACTAAGCAAATGCGTCACTTTTCGAAAACGCTAGCTTTTACTGTTTCCGAAATGGCCCCCTGTAGGCCCATAACGAGGATTTTCTTGGTGTCTATATTTATAATGATCGGATCCAGTGGTATCAATAATCCTCAACGGGATCCATCTTTCAATGATAATCCCCAAATACATTCAACACTGGGTCCACCGATAATACTAGAACGGGTATATCTCGTGCGACACTTCCAAAGTTCCCTTCAGATACAACCGTCTATGCCATGCGGGAATGCTTAGTCAAGTTTCTTCGTGGAAGGCGAGACGCCACTGTTCGCCTTTCCGACGCGGACAGTGTGTCAGGCAGGAATGCTGACTGTTAACCGTTTCTCCATTCTCCATCCGTCCCGACACCGATGTTCCCGGGGCCAACTCATAACCAAATGTAAATTCAACATTTTCCACCCCACTTTGCGTATAGGCACAGTATTTCTGTATACAGTAGTTTCACTCAGCGTCGGTCCCTTTGATGTCGGTGTCCAGGAGTTTTATTTTTTATAATGATGACGTATTTGACACTAATGACATTTCTCCCTACTTCAATCTCAACCAAAGCGTGTATACACTGCTCAACATAACAACTATTCA